AGCTCAGGCTTTGCACTTTCAGTCAAAAAAAGAATGTACTTTCTACAATGTTCTTGAGCGGAGAACCATAACTGGAAATTTCCTAATCCCTAATTACTTTTGCATCGGAGGTTATTCTAGATATACAGTCAACTCAAAATTCTAGAAAAAGAGAGAGAAAAAGATATTATTCTGTACAAAGTAACAGATGAACATAACATTTACAAAATGTGATTCATGTGAACGACAAGAAAGTCACCAACAAAATAACAGTCAGATATCGATGTTTTGCTTCTAACTCGTTAATAGTTAAAGAAAGAAAAGCTATATTTGCAGTGGTTATAGGTCGGACATTGATGAGTATACGCGAGAAAGGCAAAATTGTTTCGTCAAGTCTAAGAGGAGAAACGCTTAGGGCCATTTACATCATTCGAACAGTACTATTTTTATCAGAATCACTCATATATATTTTAAGGGTTAAGAAATCGATTTTGAAACTATTCACGAGCAACGTACTCTGAAGTTCCTGTCAATAACTCACTAACAATACTCAAAAATTTCGTATTAGTATCAGGTATACTGCGAAGAAATGTGGCTAATTGACACGAATCAGATGCAAAGCTTTTCGATCTGGAAATGACTACATCATAATTAAATCACTAAATTTTACTTTGATCATTATCATCTTCGTCTTCATCGTCTGTTTCATCGTTAGCAATTTGACTTAAATCACTCAACACGCCAAACACCCGTGTTATTGGTTCTAATACTTTTTCTCCGAGCCAGCTCTGTCTAGCTAATTGGTTTTGTTCATGTACCACAGATTCAAAATATTCCGGCAATTGTTTCATTAATGAGCTAGTTAGTGTCACATTAAGCCATGTGAACAGTAGTTCTTCAATATTTGTACACCATTGTGATGTTGACGGAAAATATTTGTGTGATTTTTCACAAATATTTTGTAAGCATTTTAATTTTATTGAATCATGAACCTTTATCAATGACGCGTAGAACAATGACTTCAAATACCATGTGTATATTTTTGATTTAGAATATTCCTGATTATCATCCAAAAAGTCCTTTGGTGCAGTATAAAGAAACCATCTGTCTAACTGTTGAAAATTTTTTTTCATATGTATCATAGTCAAGCAAGGTTTAGCACAGAATCTGTCTAACTGTTCGGCCAACAAATGACACTTTTCTAAAGTCACATACTCTAACATATTCATCTGAGGTAAAAGATAATTTGGCATCACACCACTTTTCAAGGCAGCTGATAATGATTTTATTAATTGCAGGAACAATTCTGATAGACTTACAGTGTGCAATGATAAAGCATTTTGTTCCAGATAGGTGAAAAAAAAGTTTTTGGTATGGTGAGACGTCAGAACGCCTAGAAAACATATAAGATAATCATGTAATTAAATACTTTCAAGCACAAAGGACGAGTGGTAGCTGTATCGTTCTGCGAAAAGCTTGTGTCAGCACAGGCTTTATAGGTCTGAAGATAAAACTCCAACGAGACTGCATACTAAGAAGAAGCCCTAGTGATATAACATGTTTCATTATCATCCTAAAGCTACACTTTGACTAATCACTAACAGGTTTCGATAACCAATCGCTTTTTTACAGAAAAATGGTCAATAGCTTCGACTTCTGTACCATACTAAATGAAACTCAATTATTTTCTCAGCATCTACTTCTAGGACTCGGAAGTACTGATTTATAGCGGTCTTGATGGCGATGAACATGGTGTAGATGATTTTATGATGTTTTGATGTTTTAGCCTAGTATTGCTCTACAAGCTAAATATCAAAAATCAACTCCATCGTCTGTAGATAGAAGTTGAAGCTATATACTAGAAATCCAGTGATTTTCGGTGTCTTTTTAACCTCTATCCTCCCTAGCAGGCCTAGTATTCACCTTGTAATAGTTAATATCAATATTCATTTTGTTATAAATTATAACTGAACGAAAATGCCATTAGCAATACAGCATATTGCTGAATTGAATAATCAAGGTTATCAAATAAGTCAGAGTTGAATCATTACGCTGAAAAACAAAGATTAATTTATTTTTTATGTAGTAATAGCTTTCACTTAAACTATTAAATGTAGGTTATAGGAGTTTCATAATTTTACCCCCGACCGGAACTGCCCTGACGAGATCAAATGTTACAGAACGAGGTATTTTTTCTCAAGAACTTTAAATACTCAACCATGTTCACCATCCTATCGCCATCAAAGAAGTTTGCATATGTTGGTAGAGTAAAATTCTAAAACGTAGGTAATCGTACAATTATATTGTATTTATTCTACAGTTTCTGACCTTACCTGGTGCTATTTCCCGTACGAAAGAATTTAATAACATCAAACAACTTTTTTGTTTTATATCAAATGAATTTGTAAGCAATGCTTCGGGAAAACTCAACGATAGACGCCAAGTCATTGTGTCTTGCCGTTTTGGTACTAAATGACAAGGCGATCTCGATACAAATTCGACAACATCAACTGAGGGCCATTGTTTTTGGTCGTTCAAGCCATTGTTGTCGAATATGATAAGGAATTTGAGGCATCAACCAAGCTAATACATAATCTTGACTACTGAATGATGTACCCATACTATTCATCGTCGGTGTAACTGCAGGGCCATGAAGTTCTGCTACGACTGGCCCCTGTTGATTGTACTTTGAAAATTCAGCATGAATTAAACTGGCGACTTTTTCACTGGACAAATGTCGTTTCCCGTTAAATTGCTCAAATACATCAACCTCTATAGGACATGTAGTGCGTTCATTGTATCGAATATGATAAAAACCGATAAACGGAGAAGGGTCAGCAAAGCCAATCTGCAATGGTGATTCTGTATCGAGATCTGAGACGAATGCATTGTTCGGCTCAAACATAATGTCCATATCACCGGATACCTCCAATGGCACTATAATTGAATGTGCTCTTTTGGTTAGTAGAGAATTCACCGCAATAACTATTAACCCAACATCGACAAAAATGCAATAATCTATCTTGTTTTAGGGTATAGTTGGAAAGAACATAAAAAATATTATAACAATTTACTTTCACTGATGATTTTTGCTAAAATATTTTCAAAGCTTAATTGACAATTTTCTTCTTTAGTTATCTAGTCTCTAGACTAGTTGACATCTCAACTAACAAAGAAATATGTCTACTACTAAACACGGTATCAAGCGTCGTTTGAGACTTCTTAAACTAGCGTGTGTTTTCCTCAGTTGCATCAACCCAGTTTGGGACATTGTGATAAATAACTGTTAAGTAGTGAGCTGACATCTAATGCAATTTCAGCTGTAGATGACGAATCTGATCTGAGACATAGAAAACTTCGGCGAAGATCAGAAGTAGTTTTTTGAATTTGAATTTCAAGGAATGGACTCATTTCATCATCTTTGCAACTGTAAACAAAAAAGAGTTGTTAGTGAAGGCTCTAAGAATCTAAATGTGGCACTCAGTAACGTACTAGAATTAACCGATCTCTCTGATGTATGTTGTTTATGGCAACTTGTTCGTGTCAGAGATGGGCGAGTCATTTTCTCGAGCCACTTAAGTCCCCCAGAAGTCCCATAGGAAAAAAATTTGGGTTTTTTCACTTTTATTGCATAAGTGTTGCATGACCGCAGCAAAATATCGACAAATTATTTAACGCTCAAACAGTTAAGTAAAACGCGTTTGATAGAATCAGAACCTATTTGCGTTTTTCTTAAGACTGTTGTTTAGCTTCAGGGCTCTCGCCATTCACAGGAATTCTCGATAACGATACACCGGAGGAAGTTTTTCTTTGCTTTGATTTGTAGATAACATCTATAGGTAGGAGTACACAGAGTCTGATTTTTTATAGAAATGAGGATTTCTAAGAAACCTTCTAAGGATATTTCGGATTTTAAAGCTCTATTAAGCACCAGAAATCAGTAATGAGAAATTCAAAAATCGGGCTCTGTCAACTCCTAGACATAGGTGTTTACCGCAAAACAAAAGCAGCCCGAACTCTCTATCATTTACCTGGAGTGAGAATTCTTGTGAATGGCAGACGCCTTTTTTGGCCCTTGTTGTGGCGCCCTCCCTCTCATGAACAGTTGCAAGTGACGCGAAAAAAAGTTTCGTTACCACACTTGGACATGGTCAACACTCCCTGAAAGTTTGACTCAGATCAGTTTGACTCATTACCTGGGCTGAGATAGGTTTCTGCCCCGGGGAGGGGAGGCTGAAAGAATGATTTAGAATTTTTTCCCGCTAAAACGTTTAGAGCTACTTTTAGTAGCGTTCGATCCAGATTTGTTTGGAATACGAAATGATATTAAGTGATTCGAGAAAGTGATTCACCCAACTCTAGTTCGTGTATGGCCCTTAAACTAGCAATATCTCTAGAGAATGACCAATAGCGAGGATGTTCCTCTTTGAAGGATAAATAATGCATTTCAGTCACTGTCGAATGACATTTCGACACAGTCACCAACATGCATTAATGCTAATTCTCGCATGATTTTCATAAAAGATGATTGCACTTCTATTAGACATCGAGTTAGAGAATATTCTCATGAATCTTCGTCTCACTATTCATACCATCTTCATCTGTAAACGTATAATACTGTTCAACGAGACCAGTCAATCGACTCCCGCTAAGTTTTGCTGTAAAACCATTTGTCCATTTTAAAGCGTCAGCAAATATTTCTCGCACATGATATGTATTCCAGTGCCAACAATGAATGTCCTGATCGACAAATCGCAACAAACAATAATCGAGAAGAATTGCGAAAAAGTCATTTTCACTTAATTTATTATCGTCATTATCATGGGATTTATTATAATTAATGTAATCCAGAATAGAATTATCTACCATTTTGTGGCCGAATACCCTGTTGGTTACTAATGTATTGTTAGTCACGCGAGAACCGTAGTTTAAGGCGTATTTTTCATAGTTGAAAGATAAAAAGAACACAATTACACCTTGCTTATCTTTATGACGTTGTGAAAAAAACGAAAGAGAGAAACGTGAGAACTTTTGTATATAAAAGAGAAAGTGAGGCGTGCAAACTATCTGGATGATTTTGATATAAAGCGTACCTTTCATGGAATTTGTTTTTCGCTAGAAAGAACGCTTATCTTCCTCTTCAAAAGACTATCGTATATCATTAGTCGATGATGATGACCCGATGACTCATCGATTTACAGTCGATTTTTAATGTGATGCTCTCTATCGGTTGACTGGACTGTCCGGTTCTAGCATTTGACGCACAGAAATTTTAAATCAAATTAATAACTTTCGCGTTTGAATTTATTTATAAAACACCGTTTGAATTCCTGCACCTTACTACGGCGATATTAAGTTTCGAAGTAAACGAAAATGGCTACAGATAAAGAGTGGAATAACTGTATAAATTTCTGCGTGTGTGTTATGATGGTTGGCGTTTCTTCTAACGTGGCTTTGAGAAGCTATGTTCGAACTATATAATTGTTTCTAGTGATCCTTAATGCTTATGGGATTAGGATACTAAAAGTTGGGACTAAAAGTTACAGCTGAATTTAGTCCTAGCATAAATTTTAATTTTTCAAAGGCTACCGATATTTTTACATTGAGACCTAGCTTTTTTTTAATCCTTGTATACCCTGACCCGTTCGCTACGTTCTCTACGGTATCTGTATTCGATCTATGAATACCAGTGTAGTATCTTTGTAGAAGTGGTGCTGTTTGTTCAGTTCACCTTCATTTGTTGTATATTAGAAAAAGAAGATAAGTAGTTAGAGATAGCCCGTAACGAACTTGACTAGCACGAATACCTTTAATGTGAAGTATACGAAGCGACCGACCAAAGGGTGAATATTCTCATTTCCGTTCTTTTTCTTTGATTATTATGTCTCGATGCTTTAAACTATTGTTCATTTCAGATTTTCTCATCTATTTTTATTATTCGGAAAGTTAGTTGGAGAAACAGTCAAAGAAAAAATTTACCAACATCACCCTCACCATCAGTACGATGGATATTCTTTTCTATCTTAAATTTGTTGATTTTGCTTTAAATGTTTTTTATACAACACTCTTTTTTGTCCTTTTTTTATTGGACAAGCCGGGGTAAGCGGTCGGGGTATTTAGCGCTTATTCCAGTGTTAAATTGTTACTATTTACTTAAAATAGTTCAAATAAAAAAAAGTTATTCTTTTCTTATTTTTCTTTTCTTTCTTCCTGGAATAAATTTTTTGTTTTGGTTTTTTATAACGGATAGATTACGGGAAACCTTTGATCTTTCTTTCTGGTCCACTTCTGGACTAACTTTTCTTTCTTCTGTTTTTATGTTTTGGATTGGTGTAAATGCGAGCCATTATGATCCTAAAAGACTTTCTCTTGTATAAGGTTGCAGTGCAGGCAGGTTGCAGTGTGCAGGTGAATGAAAAAATTTTCCACTGACTGCCGGCGGATAAAGAAAAATATTTTCCTTTCTGCACTCCCTGCAGGCGATAAGATTTCACCTACATTTACTGCAGGGAAAGGCGTTTTTGTGTGGAGAACAAAAAGAGAGGGGAGACCGAGAGAAATATTGATCACACTGAAGGTCAGAACGATCTCAAAAGAAACTAACTAACAGTTTTTTTGTATGTCTACTAGACATTTTAAGATGAAGGAGAGAAACGTTTTATCCGTATATTGTTGTATTGAAATATTTGTACATAAGATATGACTATGTTGCTCGCTTTTGATAGAGAAACTTTTCTTAAAGTGACATGCCCTTACCGTCACTGCCGATTTGGAGACCGAGTAACATCTCAGGATCTGATTCAGGCGATCATCATCAACAGTAAATACTCTGGGAGGTATCCAAAGTGTGAGACCAAAATGCGTTACTGTTTGTTTAGAAATGCTTTTGTACCAGCAAACTGAGCAAGGTATCAATAGTTCATTCACAAGTTATTCCAGATTAATATAGCGTCCTCATATCATCATGCTGTACATACAACCTAGCATGATTTCGAACAAAAGTTTCTTTTCAGAATCCAGTTGTTACTAGTTTCTAATTGCTAGTTCAAAAATAGGATTTGATTGCGTGCTAATTTTCCTAAAGAAAATATTAGTTGATGTAATACAGAAATGTTTCATAGAATTATTTTTATTAACAATTTAGTATTCATTATTTTCAACTGATGGACTTGTTTAACTAATATGTTTGTCTAATTTTAGTTACTTATTTTCATAGATAATTTTAGACATTAATTTGGTCAAAAATCTTTTATTCTTATGCTTAAACTAATTATGAGATACTTTGTCTTAATTCTTCGTTAGACTGTTTAGTTGACTCTGCACCATAGACCTTGGTCTGCTCGCTTAGTCAATTTGTTGTAACTAACTATCTTTTTCTTAATAAACAGGATTAAAACATACTTGTATTGGTCGGTGAAACCTACGTTGATAGTGCTATGAAAAAAACTAAATATCAATGTATTTACACAACAAATAATTAACCGTATGCTACTTTTTAATGCATAAAACGAAATACGTTTTGACAAAACCAGAAAACGTGTTGTTACATTATGTAAAAGTTTTCTTCGTCATTTCTAGGTTATCTTTCTGGAAGATTTTTATCAGTTTTTAATAATATAGTGTTTTTTATAAACTCAATATATAGATGATCACATATAAGAAATTATTTCTTTTGCGAGCTTTCACTCTCTTCGAGAGCATCGGGAGGCAATTTTTTATTTAAATTTTGTTATAGTTACTACACTATATATTGATCTACAGTGTCGATTATATTTTTTGCATTAGGTATCCTGATTAAAAACTTAGACTGAAAAAACTTAAACTGAGTAACTTGGGTAAGTAAGCGCTCGGGTGACAATAATGAGCAGACACAATGTGATTAATTCAAATCTGCGAGAGGCAACTGTTAAGGTTAAATGAGTGACTACGAAGGCACCACGATGATTTTACTACAAATGATTTTAGGATCCAAAGAGAAAATTTGATTACAATGGTGTAATCGTATTAAAAAAAACGTCAACGAGAAATGTATTGTTCGAGAAAGGTAATAGCATGTGGATTACTTTTAGTTTTTTCTTTGTAGCCAAATTCAAAGACCATTAGACTCGTGACTCATCTTAATAAGCATAGTTTACCAAAAACTTTCAAAGAAGTATTTTAACTAAAAATCAATCAATCAGTTATTTATGAATAAAAGTGTGTTTTAGAATGATGTGTATCCAACAACAGATCCTCTACAGATTGATAGAGAGGAAAACGAAAAGAAAACATCTCGATTTTTAGACGCAGTTTGGGAATAAGGAAACTCAAAATAAGACTGAAATTTTATTTAATATTACAGTAGCATGAGAGTAAGTAACCAAATACCATGTCTGGTTTACCCTTAAAGAATGTTTGGTAGGTTAGTTGAATAGGCTAGGTGGTATCTAGAGGAACTACTGACATTACTGGATTGGAGATGGTCGGGAAACGTACTGACACGGTCCAGCACGCGTTGTACAGCATAAGAGGTGCTTTAGAGCAATTGATTCAGTGTATCTTCCTGCCGAATGAGGTTAGACTCCTCTTTCCGATATGGTTGAGCTTTCCAGGTGCAGGTAAAAAAGTATCTACATTCTTAAGAAACAACCTCACAATAATCAAAAGAAGTCAATTTTTCAGAAGTCCGTTCGAATTAGGGGATTTTACTCTGTATTTCACACTAGAGTATTTCTTCTGTATTTCAAAAGAATCGAGCATGCCTCATCTTTTTATTATTGTAATTAAGTCAAACTAAATTAGTTTTGAAAAATTTTTGCATAGTTGGATAGAGAATTGTCTCCGCTATCCCGGAATCTAAAATTCCCTCTTATCACTTGAAAAATGGCTGAGAAAATCAAGATTTACGAAAAAGAAAAATTTTCCTGCCATCAGTAGGAACATTGACTCTACAGAGGAAAAGAAAAACAGTAAATTCTGAATAGGTCTAGAGAAGAATGATAGATATGATGCCATTATCTAAATTAATTATATTAATATTGAGCAGTGTACAGTTGATAGAAAAAAATGGATAGGTATAAAATAAGTAGAATGATAGAAAATAAAAGGGACAAAACGAGTGTGGAACGAAATGAGACCGTACGAAACAAGAGCTAATTACAAAATACGGACGAAGCGAGAGTAATTCGATGAATGCCTCTGGATATATTTTTTATTCTTCACTAGTCCGTTTTAGAATTCGTTTTTATTGTTTTTCTTTTCCTTCTGTGTTAGTGTCATCACGTGTTTTCTTTATTGGTAAATCGGCTTTACGTACATACGTCGTTGGTATCTAATTGAGGTATCGGCATTATTGTACCACATCAAGAGGTCTGGTAATCTTCGGAAACAGTCAGATATACTCAAAAACATGTCCGCTGTTAGAATATCACATTTAAAATGGTTCTGAGTGATACGTCGTTTTACACAGAATGCGATGTTCTATCGAACCGCAAAAAAAGACTTTCGAAGGTTTTTTAAAAAACCTTATGCTCAAAAACCAGGTGTTTTAAAAAAAGCGTAGTTTTATTTTTGCTCGAAATACCCTCATCGGATATAGCATTCAAAAGTGTATATATCGTATAATTTTCGTATTGCTGCCTCATTTTCTGTGGACGGAAGAGAAAAATTACGAGGACGGATGCATGGTTTTTCGAGACTTTCTGACTTGAAAATGAGTCTTTATAGGTAAAATCCCCGTTTGAACCATTTTAAATATGATATTCTAACAGCCGACATGTTTTTGAGTATATCTAACTGTTTTCGAAGATTACCAGACCACTTGATGTGGTAAAATAATGCCGATAACTCAATTAGATACCAACGACATATGTACGTAAAACAAATTTTTC